TCTTTGGCCTAGCTCCGGAAGCGCCGCGTCGGACCCCTCCCAACCTCGACTCCTTCTTACGCGCCCCGCAAAGGTTCACGTTTCGCACGATGCGCTGTTAGACCCGCAGAACGCGGCCGACCTCCGCTCGGTTCCTCCAGGAACTGCCCGCTGCTGCTACGCCCGTTACCGCGCCGTTTCTACGACCCTCCCGACAGCTTAACGACACCGCCTGTGCTTTGGAACCTTGCCTCGTTGCCTGCGGCCCTTCTGGGGTAAGGCGCAAGTTTGTCAGGTCACCTACGACGAGCGGAACCGTAGATACCCGCACTCTAAAGGGAAAACTCCTACGTAGATGCTCGCCCGCCTAGACGACGCCGCCGCAACCGCCCGGGTGACGCCTCTGCCCTATCGCGCCGTTCCTCGCTCCCTAGGCCTTCGGCCGCTTTCCCCTCTCGTAGCCCATCTTCTTTCCTTTCCGTCGACCTCGGAAAAGTTTCTTTACCCGGGCACGCCTCGCCCGTACGCTGCGTCGCTACCTTTTCCGTCTGACGCGCCGCACGCGTTACAAAGAAGGGGCGTCCGGCCTCCGGCCGGATGACGCGTCTCTTGCGCCGCTTCTCTACCCTGGTTATCCTACGGCCTTAGGCTTCAGGCGGGGCTGACGGCTACCCCGATAAACCTTTCCACAGACACGGCCTTCTTCAACGGTTCTTTCGGAGGCGCTCTGCCTACGCGCTCTCACCGCTTGGCTTTCACCTCCAGTCGGGGAGTTGACCTACGCTTCTTTCCCCCGATCGTTGACGCTCCGATACGCTCCCGGCATCCCCTTGGGATACCACGTGACTGCTTTAGGCTGCCGTTGCAAACCTCTCGTTCGTTACTTGACCCGCGTTTTTTTTGCCCTCGATGCTACGCAGGACTTCAGGCCTTTAGGAGCTTAAGCTGCGGGAGGCCTACGGTCTACAGACCGACCACAGCTTCAGTCCTCGATTCCTGCTAGAACGCATTTTCCTACATCCCAGGGCTCTTTCACCCAACACCGTTGCGACGTCTAGGGTAGCTGTGCGATGACGCCCTTGCAGCTAACCTTCACCCTCGCGCCACCTTGACGTTTCGTCGCTTGGGTTTCCCGTCCCAAAGCATTTCGTCTCTGTAGCACTCGACACGGGTTGCGACAGCTAGCTCCCGGTTTTTACCCAGCGTTCCCGTCAGCTACGAAACGTTTGTCGCTTCCTACGCAGGGTTACTTTCGCAACCCTCCCGTCTTTAGGCAGCGAGGAAGCGCCGTTGCGTCCCGCTACGGTTCCTTGCCTGTTGGACCCTTTCTAACAAGCACCTTAGAGCGTGCTTCGAGGAACGGAGCCTCAAACACCTCGCGCCCTCAAAACGCCTCGCCGACGCGCTTCCGTCGCAGTTGCGGCTTCCCGAGGTGCTGAGACAAAACACCGCGAGCACGGCGGTGCCGACCGTTGGGGAACGCGGCGCGGCGCAAAGCCGCGTTGCCTTTCCTTGCCCTACCGACGGCGTCACGGTCTCTGCAGAAAGCGACCGCCGCCTTCCCTGCCCAAACGTGGGGTTTGCCACCTACCGTCACGGCCTGGCCACAGAGGGCCTGTCTAAGGGTCTGGCAACGAGCGCCTCTCACAACAAACACCCCGCCAACCCTAACTGTAAAGCGACACAGGGCCCGCAAGCTCTCACAAAACCTACAGCTAGGGCAACGTCCTTTTGGGTTAGGGTACAGGGCCCCTCTGCAGGTGCAAACACGGCATCCCAAAAGCAGGCGCGACAAAAACCAACCCCAGCCTTTTCGGTTCAGCGCCCCGGACCAGACAACTGCGTCCAACCAAAACCCGCCACTACGGGTTGCTGCCGAGAAACATCTACGCATCGGGCTTCGCGTCCTACTCGCGCGCCAGGGCACGGTCCGCCTGGTTCCTAGGGTTTTCTGTCCCTCGGACCTTCCCCACCGATTCGCACGACGCCCCGCCCTGCTCGGCCCACAAAAACACCTTTCGCGTTACGAGGGCTACGTCCGAGCGGGCAAACGACGCGGGCGTCGCGACTTCCACCAAGGCCTCAGAGGTCGCTGCCGAGCCCTAGAAGGTCTACCTATCTTATCAGCTACGCTCCCAACCCGTACCTTCACGCCGCAGTCGCTATTAACCGACAGGTTCCTTCAGCGCGCGCCTAGCGTCTCGGTACGGCGCGCGGCAAGTTGCAACCTACCTACGCCGAAACGCCTCCGGCCTCCCCGTCGACACTGCCGGAGGAGGCTCTTCCCGACCGCCAGAGCTTCTCGCGAGCGTCGCGCAAGCCTAGGAAGCCAGATGACGCTCTACGGTCTCCAGCCTTCGCCTCGCCGCCCTACGCTCTACTCGGGGAAGGTTTTAGGCCCACGACCTCTCGCCACAGCCCACGTGAAAGCCGCCGGGTTGAACCTACGGACCCGAAAGCCCTGTGGCCGCTTACGCGTCCTGCCGGCCCTTCGGTGCTCCCCCTGCCGCCTGCGTGGAAGCCCTCGCGCCTCTACCCAATGCTTTTGCCAAGGCAGTCGCCTTCTGTCGGCAGACTTCTTACAGTACCCGTTTCGCCTGCCCCATCGGCGCCCGCCTCGGCGGCGCTGGCGGTCGCTGCCACGGGCGGCGCCGAGAGGCAGGGCCCTGAGCTACTCCGATGAGTACTGACGCCACCTTTCCGATACTGTCACGTCAATATCCTGCGGATGCCCAGCTTGACCAGAAAAAGCCCCCCCCTCATCTCTAGCCACTGTAGGTAACTGCTCTCTTTCCAAGTCTCCTAACAAACGACTCGGCCGACGCCGCGCCCCTGACGCCCACCCTCGCCGCGCCGCCCGTCCCGCCCCCCGCGGCACTCACCTGCGTCGGTACCCCCCTGGCAGCTCC